TAAAACTGTGACAGTACAGTCGAGTAAGTGGAGAGCCCTACATGCGGGTCTCGTCACGATGCTAGCTGTGGTAGAAGTTGCTCTGGTAGCGATGCTCGCGTGTTTTCTGGTCAAAAAGAAGGGCTACTGTTCACGGGGCAACCAAGCCGCACAGGTCGCCAGTTCTCAGGGCAACCAAGCTGCACAGGGTGCCCAAGCCTCTGTAGGGTCTCCTCTCAGTATTGCCTGCTTGGACCACTGGATGGTAGGCGGGGGAAACAGCCATGCAGTCCCTGTTTATATCAAGCAAGGTACGCCAGGTTCCGATAGAGCAACTGGTAGCGTTAGCTGTAGTCAGCGAGCTTCGCGCTCAGGTGTTGAGCAGCAGTTACAGTACAGCGAGATTCCGGACGAGTACTACTACAAGTACGAAAACATGGACACTTCGCCACCTGAGACTGTCAGGACCTACTGGCAGATTCCCGATGACTACTACAACTACTACAACACGCGGCCGGCATTTTTACATCAGTACTGGGAGATCGGGGATGACTACTACAACTACGAAAACACCGCGGGGCGCCCCCTGTCGTTTCCTTTGGCACTGCAGGTGCATCTGTCTTCTGGCCATGACGATGAGGTACATCCTGGGGCTTTCACTGCTTCAGCAGCCGAGGCAGCTCTTCCTACAGTAGACTGGTTACGATGTAAGCCCTCCTCTTACGGCACAGCATCCAGAGTTACAGCAGTTACACAGAATTATGGAGCTAGGGCAAGAAATGCGGACATTCCATCTTATGAAATACCTGCATCAGCCAAGCGTAGAGCTTTGGTGGGTGGGTATGGTAGAACGCAGAGAGGTCTCTTCTCGAGAGAGAAGGCAATGACCATCTATGGAAATCCTACTGTTTATTCGTGGGTTAACAGAGACCAGGATAACGTTATGTACAAGGCAGCGTTTAAAATTCCACCATTTAAGACCAAAAGTTACCAAAACGTTTCATGCTCACAGTATGCAAACATGTCCATTGCCAGGTCCAATGATGATGTTTTGGTGACCAGCAAAGAAGGCCAAGTTCACAGGTCAAAAACTTTTAGCGTGAAGTCGCGGAGGAAGGAGTCCTTAAACAAAACAAGTCCTCGCCGGAAAAGTATTTAGTTTTTTTACTTGTTCAATCTACTAAATACAGAGGCCTCATTTCTGCAAATACATGTATCCCTTTTGATCATGATATGTGTTTTAAATTTGTATTGTTTGTGGTAATGGTATATACATTTGGTTGTCAACGGATATATGTAAAAAAACTTTATTATATTTATGTAAATACCTCGGTTTGTATGTGTATCTATTGTGTATGTATTATGATCCATTGAAAGCTATGTTTTTGGACTAGATTTATACACCAGACGATATATATATATATATATGTATATAATATATCTGAGATATACTTATATGTATAAAAATAGACATGCAAATATCTAAACACCTAGGCAAAAAACGTCCTTATAAATATATAACACCAATAAAAATGACACACGGTTTCATCGTTCATATCTTTGTTTATTGCATTCCATCTCTTGTGTGTTTCCTTTTAGTTGTAAGATTTGCATAATCATGTGACACTGTGTGTTATATATGTGTCGCATGAGGGCTCTTGAAGGGTTTTGCAGTATCTAATACTCCTCCCCTTCCTCCTCGCATTGGTCATCAATGGAGTCGACGCCAACCTCCTCGTAGTCCTTCTCCAGCGCAGCCAGATCTTCGCGTGCCTCGGAGAACTCTCCCTCCTCCATCCCCTCACCCACGTACCTGAAAACACACGGGGTGGTTTATTAGACCTTTTTAAGGTAAGTAAAAGGGCCAAAAAGTCATAAAAATGAGTTCTATGTATCTTACGTAGTGCGAAAAGCTGAATAAAAGTTCTAAACGGGAACTATGCGGCCCCAGATGTCTTACTGAGGGACGACTGCGTGTGCGAGATGTCGGTTAGCTCGAGGAATGAATCCACTCAACAATTTTGGCTGTATGATAATTGATTATATTTAAATATTTAAGAAAAGGGATATTACCAGTGCACGAAGGCGCGCTTGGCGTACATCAGATCGAACTTGTGGTCCAGGCGGGCCCAGGCCTCAGCGATGGCGGTGGTGTTGCTCAACATGCACACGGCACGCTGCACCTTGGCCAGGTCTCCGCCGGGCACCACGGTGGGAGGCTGGTAGTTGATGCCGATCTTGAAGCCTGTGGGGCACCAGTCGACAAACTGGATGGTGCGCTTGGTCTTGATGGTGGCGATGGCGGCGTTGACGTCTTTAGGCACCACGTCTCCACGGTACAGCAGGCAGCAGGCCATGTACTTGCCGTGACGAGGGTCGCACTTCACCATCTGGTTGGCCGGCTCGAAGCAGGCGTTGGTGATCTCTGCAACCGTCAGCTGCTCGTGGTAGGCCTTCTCTGCCGAGATGACGGGAGCGTAGGTGGCCAGGGGGAAGTGGATGCGCGGGTACGGCACCAAGTTGGTCTGGAACTCGGTCAGATCCACGTTCAGGGCACCGTCGAAGCGGAGGGATGCTGTGATGGAGGAGACGATCTGGCCGATCAGACGGTTGAGGTTGGTGTAGGTCTTATGGACTTATGCTGACTACAATGTGCGGAAACACACACACACACACACACACACACACACACACACACACACACATACACACACACAGACAGACGCGCCAAAAACAATACCTCCATTTTTCATGGAGGAAATAACGTCAAAATATTTGTTCAATATGATATGTTTTTGATTGTCTTACTTTATTGTTTAGATATTTAGTTCGCCGTGTTAACTTTATATTATCTTGTACCTATTTTGAGTTAATTTTTTTTGCTTGCTTGTCCCTTAAGACATGCAAGCTAATTGTAAATGTAATAAATGTATGTAAATAAGAGATCGTCAAATTAATAGGATTTGGGAGAGTCCACTAGACAAACCTTTAGGTTTCTTGGGTTCTCCAACATATATTTGCTTGTATACAATTTCATTTTATACTGTTACTTTTTTTATGTACAAAATGACAATAAATAAAAATAGAAATAAATAAAAAATTTACATAAAAAAAGTCGTCTATTGCTTATCCATAAACATTTCCCTCCATGAATATTGTCGGGCCTGAGAGGCCAGAAGGTATTAGACCCATTCGACTCTCACGGATCGCATAAACTGCTTACGTCACAGGGGGGACATTTCGAAAGAACGTCGTTCTAGAACGCTGAAGTCGAACGTGGCTTGCGCTCACGGTGTCCAACTAGGGCTGCGGACCGGTACACTGTACCGGTCCTATACCGTAAAAATCGTTTCGGTACAGGTCCAAAATACCGGATCATGAAGTAACGAGTATATACCGAAATAGCTAGTTTACACCATGTATATGACTAAAGATAGGTAAATCCTACCACAAAGACGAAAAATTAGCACTGGAAAAGACGTAAACACCGTCGATTGATTTGAGATCCTCATTCTCACGAGACATCGCGAGAGTGTGGCTGATCCAGGGTTGTGATTGGTCAACAAACTCAAATCAGGTCAGAGGTCAGTCATTTTCCCTTCCCTCCAACACTTTATTATTGTTTCTGTGTCATGATTGAAAAAGTGAAGAACACGTGTTAATTTGTCAAATTGTTCAGGTACAGGTACAGGTCCGGACCTGTACCTAAACCTCTGTACCAGTACCTGTACCTGTACCTGATGTTACGTTTAGCCTGTGTATACAAGCTCTCGGCTGGACGTTAATGACCCCCACCCCAAGGGGGGGCGGCAACCTAGGGCGGCGGCCGCCAGGAGCGCGATTTAGTCAGGCTAATGTTACGTTTAGGTACGCAGCCCTATGTCCAACCTGGCAGATCATTTTTTTACTAAAAGGTAGGTAAGTATCTATTTTCTCGGTAATATGTGCGGAAATGACAGGAAAACAGGCATCAACTTTGTATGGTGGCATTCTATACAACAATTTAAGGTTATTTTGTTCTGTGACGTATGCAGTTTATGCGATCCATGAAAGGAACTTTCGAAATGTCCCCCCTGTGACGTAGTTTCTATTCGAAATGTCCCCCCCTGTGACGTATGCAGTTTATGCGATCCGTGAAAGTCGAATGGCATGGGTGACACAGTCTTTGTCTAACAGTCCTTAACATTTGTTACCACTCCTTTCTTCCGGACTGTGATAACGATATAATGATAGACAGAGCGTCTTTTGTTTTGTTCTGCAGCCCTCCTGATATGTTTTGAAGGATGAAAAGACACTCCTCCTTATGATTATGGGTGTCACAATTATCTTTCAAGTTCGTGGGCATTAAATTCAACTGAAAGAGGATTTTAGTACGTTTGTCTTGGATAGGTTTTTTTTAGTTTTTAAAATTTATTTTTTTAGGTTAATTCAGTTTTGAATAGCTTTAATGTATCAAAGAAAAGAAAGCCCGATAAAAAGGCCATAAAACGCGCTAAAAAGAAGAGCCAAAGCCTCCAAACCTCTGCTTGGAGAGCCAATGGTCTTCCCCGCCATGTAATGGTCCCGCCCGGCGCGCGCGGTGTATGCAGGGAAGGGTTCATACTCCGGTACCCACACGCCTGTACACGCAACTTTCAACACCAGAGACTAAAATACTCCCAGAAAACCCCCCAACTCTGCAGGTAAGCCGGGAGTAACGCTTAAAACAAGCGCTGTCGTTTTCTCAGGTAGATTAGACAGACTTATCAACGGTTATGAGTTAGTAAAGTACGAGTGGACACTGTTGTTGTTTGGGATAGTGGGAGGGGGGCGTGCGCGGTACCGTGCGCACAGTGACCGGTGTAAATTCTAGTATTAGTAACATTAAACCACTGTTAATTTTCGTGCGTCCACAGATCACAGATGGTGCGTGTTTGAGGATGGCGACTTTCGTGGAGATAGATTTCACGGATCTGGAGTTTTACGAGCGCTGCGGCGGCGGTTCGTACGGCAGCGTGTACCGCGCGCTCTGGAAGTCCGCCAAACTCGAGGTGGCCGTCAAACGTCTGCTGGTCTTGGAGAAGGAGGTAAGAAACTTGAGAAACATGTTAAGAAACCATGGACTGAACAAAAGGGAAGGGAAAGTGATCTTGATCCAGTTTTAGCTCACCGAAGAGCTAATCTCCCACTGGGCGTAACAGAGAAAACAGACGCTATGTACAGTATTTACAGGTTCATTGTACCAGGGCAATCCCCTGGGTCTTTTCGACAAGCACAATGAACAGTGGACTGCGATCCTTCCCAGTAGCGTGAATGTCAGGTGAGCGACAACAGCCGGGATTCAAACTCCCAACTTCTTGGTCCAGAGTCAGGGTTGCTAACCACTGGACTAAGCACGCTGCAATAGAAGACCCTCCAACTCTGTCTTGCCATTTGCTACAACGCCACACGGTGTCTGCTACAGCACCGGTTACCTTGGTGACAGACGTCTGGTCCAGGTCATTAACCTTAGTTGTTTGGAGAAGAAAAGACAGAGCAAAGACGACATGTTTTCCTTCTGCGAGGGTAAACATAGTAATGCATGTGTTCCTTTTCTGTGATCAGGTTGAGGTGCTGAGTAGTCTGAGACATCGAAACGTTGTGCAATTCTACGGTGCAGTGACCAAGGAACCCAACTACTGCTTAGTTACAGGTAAGTTGCAGGGCTCGAAATTAACATTGTCCCAGTGTCAAATGACACTAAATTTTCAGCTCGGGACAACTCAACTCAAGTTACGTTTCGGGACAATTTGGGGGCAATTGGAAAATTCTGAGACCATCTACGTCATTTGAGAACGCAATCCACCAATCCTGCGGCAGCCCATAATACTCTGGCAAACATTTAAATTTGACCAATCAGGGATTCCAAATATCGGGGAGGGGGCCTCAAAGATGGTGCCGTGCCCATGATATTATCATGAATTTCCCTACAGTTACTAATAAAGTGGACTTCAAGTTGTACAAATTCAGTTGTTGTTGTTTTCTTATTGTTGTCATAAAGTTATTTCCTGAAAAGCAGGCTGGGACAGTCCATCTTCAGTTTGGGACAATTAAAATCTATGTTCGGGACAATTCTGGGACAATAGTAAAAAAAGTTAATTTCGAGGCCTGAGTTGTACATGTAAAGTATCCTTCAAGCTATTACTAGTATTAGTTTTTACAGACATTAGTCATTGCTACATTAGAATAGAAACAGTAATCTTAAGTACTGGAGCAAGACCCTCTTGGGTATAATGTCCAGGGGAGATCTTGGTGCACGGCTAAACACGGCCGGTGGTGGAGGTGCTCGTAGTAAGTGTAACAAAACTTGACTAACTGTACAAAGTGATGAAAATAAGGGGGGAAAATAGAGAAGAAAAAGTGATGGCCATCTCAGCATGGTATATACATTACTCGGATGTGGGAAGAAATGTTTCAAATTCAGCGCATCATGACTATTTGTTTTGATTCCACGATTTATAATCAAATATCTAAAATGTTTTTCACATATTGAAAAGTTCTTTGTTTAATCACAGACACATGACACAGGCCTATGTTAGATGTGTTCTGACTTCTGTTGCAGAATATGCTGCTCAGGGCTCGCTATATGCTTACCTCGCATCAACAGAGCTGGGCTTTGAACGAACACTAACATGGGCAAGAGATATCGCTCTCGGTAAGTGTAATATTGTTAATAACTAGAAACGCTCTCGGTAAGTGTAATATTGTTAATAACTGGAAACTAACTTTGAAGGGCCATTTGGCAGTGTGAGAATACCTTCCAAACATATATTTGTAATACTGTACATCTGTGGTTTAAATGGTGTGGAAAATCACACCTAGTTAATCTATTATTAATAATGGAGGTCTTTGAAACAAGAAACAATAAGTCTGTCTTACTTTGTGAAATATCATCACTTCTTGGTTGGAAGAGAGAACTTCCAAGATATTGCTGCGTAGCCTTGTATGACTGCATTTTGTATTTCACACCTTCTTTGCTTTACTAGTATCTTGTACTTTTCAGGAATCAACTACCTTCACAATGAGGCTCCCTTTACAGTAATCCATCGAGATCTGAAGTCCAAAAACGGTAGGTTACAGCAAGGAGGTTTTCTCATTAGATAGAACCTCTTTGATTATAGGTGGTACTGTAATTCCTGCTTTTTCACTGTACTGTTAGTGTTATGTTCACTGTTTTCACGGTCACTTCTGTACCGTGAACTCATCATTACAGTTAACAAGTAATTCCTGGACTTTCTCTTTCCTGCACCTGTCAACACCATGAATATATAGTTCTGTGAACATGTCAATTTTTCTCACACCGTGAACTTTTGCTACCGGCAACATAAAGTGAATTAAAATATATGCAGCAGCCCCCCTAGTGAGTGTTGTTTGTATTGCAGTGGTGATCAGCAGTTACATGTATGCAGCCGCCCCCTAGCGAGTGTGATTTGTATCGCAGTGGTGATCAGTACTAGTAGTGATATGCGTTGATGAAGGTTAGACATCCAGGTATTAAGATACGCCAAAAAGCAGTTACTCAAGCAACTGGATATGATTTTGGAACGTATTAGTGACATGTATGCAGCCGCCCCCTAGTGAGTGTTGTTTGTATTGCAGTTGTGATCAGCAGTGACATGACAGTAAAGCTGTGTGATTTTGGAGCCTCCCGGTTCATGTCCAGCACAACCAAAATGTCCTTCGTAGGAACCATCCCATGGATGGCGCCGGAGGTAACTCAGCAACCTTTCTATATACATTTATACTATTTTAGAAGGCTTATAGACGTCCAGGTAATAAGATACGCAAAAACAGTTACTCCAGCAACTGGATATGATTTTGGTAGCGTCCAGTATCTTTCGTCAGTGACACTTTAGAGATCTCAGATTCAGCAGGCTTATGAACATGAATTTGATTGATTGATTGAAATATTGATTCATACACAAAATGAAGTAAAGAATTTTTAGAAAAAGGAAACATGGAACGCAGGCTTACATGATTTGGAATAATATTTGCTGAGGATTTCTTTTGTCCCTTACAGGTCATTCAAGGTCTCCCCGTGTCAGAAGCTTGCGATACGTACTCCTTTGGAGTGGTGAGTTTCTGTGTTTCTCAAATACTTGTACTTGTAAGTCAGAGAATCATCAAACTACTGTAACTTACCTAGTCTTCAAGTTAGCAAAATTTCACGGTCTGAGGAAAATATGTCATGTTCACAGAATGTAATCTTCAAGGTGGCAAGACTGGGGAGGAGGGCAAAAGACAAATGATTTGATAAGTTATGATAAGAATAAAAATGACAGTGAAAAAAGTGAACATCGAAGTACAAAAAAAATCAACTGCCGTTCAGCTTTCGTTGTGTAATCTGCAGTACCACACATATCTGTTAGGTGGGGCTAATGAGTCGCTGACGTTTCAGATTGTTTGGGACTTTGGACTACTGACAGGGGACATGGGAGAGGTGCCGTTCAAAGGTGTGATTGTATGACCTGCAGTACCATGTATGTCTGTTGGGTGGGGCTGATGAGTTGCTGACGTTTCAGGTTGTTTGGGAGCTACTAACAGGAGAGGTGCCGTTCAAAGGTGTAGAAGGTTTCCAAGTGGCCTGGCTAGTGGTGGAGAAAAACGAGGTGAGAAAAACACTTTTAACTCCAATTCCTCCAATCTGTGGCTTCTCTGAAGTGTGAGGTCAACACTGGGTCAAAGAGAGAATTTCTTTGTCGTAGATCAAAAGTTTTAACTTACACATGTAACTACCAGCACAAATGAACTTGAACTTAACATGATAGTATGAAACCAAATGATTTTGCTTGTGTTTCAGAGGTTAACCATCCCCAGCTCCAGCCCACCCAAGTTGGCTGCTCTCATGAACCATTGCTGGGAAACAGACCCTAAGGTACACACCTCTGCCGATGCAGTGGGCTCTGAACTTTTCCTAGTCTACAACATTATCAATTTAGTAATAAACTCCAATCTTAGTAAGTTAACCAGCAAACATTTTGGTTTCAGTGACCGTCTGTCACCTTCCTCAGGGCAATCCTGACTAGTTCACATTACACTGCAGCACAGGTGTCGCTGCTATAGATGCATTCCCAAACGTACAATATTTACATATCTACACGATTACGTTATAAATTGGCTGAATAAACCTCCTGGTTGTGTAAAAAAGTTTCTTCATTTGCATACCGACTACTATAATTCAAGTGCAACTTGTTTATAAGATGTACTGACTTGCATGTTTCTGTATCCCAACAGAAAAGGCCGACTGTAAAAGAGATCCTTGCTGTACTAGAGGGAATGATGCACGATAGTACGTATCTGTTCATCTACAGAGTTTTTCAACACCTCAATCCTTAGTTGATAACTTCGGAACTTGTAGGCCTGGCTATTTCTTTTTCAAGCTGGTATTAGGTACTTAGTAGTTGGTACATCCATTGGTTTATCTACAGTAAATTCACTCATTTTTGCAAGGAACTGATTTTGTGGTAAGAGGAGAGGAGTTTTTGTGGTGTTTTAAGATCAGAGTTGATATAATTCTGTTGTGTTTTTGTTTTCAGAGAACTTTGCTGAGATGTCAGATTCCTTCCACCAACTTAAGATGGCGTGGAAGTAAGTGACAAGTGATATTGTCTATCATAGCATCTAGCGTATAGTCAAGCCTTATTCTGTAGAAAAAAGTTTGTCCCCGGTGTTAGTGGTGGCATAATCCGAAAGTTTTGTATTCTGGTGCCACATAATCTTTTCTGTGGTGTTGCCACAACTTGTCAGACTCACTCACCCACAGAGTCTCACTGGGTCAGTCTACTAAGGAAGACCAGAGTGACTGGTTGAAAGCTCTAGATGAGAGAAGTTCCTTTTTGTTGGATCAAAAGTTTTCAACTCTAAAAGTTTCCTCTCCCCGTATGATCAGAGCTGAAATCCAGCAGACAGTGGAGAAGTTGAAGAAGATGGAGCGAGCTTTGAGCATGTGAGAACAGATTCAGAAGGACATAATACATGTACATGTAGAACTAACAAAAGTTTCCTTTCCTCGTATGATCAGAGCTGAAATCCAGCAGACAGTTGAAGAAGATGGAACGAGCTCTGAGCATGTGAGAACAGATTCAGAAGGACATAATACATGTACATGTAGAACTAACAAAAGTTTCCTTTCCTCGTATGATCAGAGCTGAAATCCAGCAGACAGTGGAGAAGTTGAAGAAGATGGAACGAGCTCTGAGCATGAGAGAACAGATTCAGAAGGACATAATACATGTACATGTAGAACTAACAAAAGTTTCCTCGTATGTTCAGAGCTGAGATCCAGCAGACAGTAGAGAAGCTGAAGAAGATGGAACGAGCCCTCAGCATGAGAGAACAACAGCTTCAGCAGAAGGAGAAAGACCTACACAGGAGGGAACAAAAGCTCAGAAGCAGCCTCTCTGTGCCAGTAAGAAAACTTCACTGTCTCCTGAACTCTCACATGTGTATTGTCTGTCATGAAACATGAATCTTGTAAAAGAAGTTGTTTTGGGTAATCGATGAAGGTTAGACATCCAGGTAATAAGATACGCCAAAAAGCAGTTACTCAAGCAACTGGATATGATTTTGGAAACGTCAGACGTTTCAGGTAGTATCCACTAGCTTTTGTCAGTAACTGAGAGACCAGAGGAGAAATGCAGGTTTACCCACGTGAGGGTAAACACAATGCAATTGCTTTGACGTTATTAACTTTCAATTTAATTTTTATTTCTGAATGTTCATACCTCCATGAATTGTACTAAATTGCTGCTTGTGTGCTGTTTAGACTATCACAGCAGACCATGATGTTGGTGCTTGGACTGAACAAGAAGTGGTAAGTACTTCTACATGTATGCACTGCTTACTGCCTGTATTAATTTCCGATTTCAATACGTTTCAGTGAAGAACAATGTAAACTGATGTTCTAATACTTTTTTGTTGTCCTACCAGCACATATGGATGCAGCACTTGGGGAATGACTGTAAGTAATGGGATACTTCTTAATAGCTATTATATAGATATCGTAGGTAGAGTTGCAGATCATTTAGTTATGTTGAATATTGTCTTCCTTGGATGATTAAAAGTATATTTCCCAAGATGTTTGAAAGTTTGTATTCAATTTTCCCTGTATTATCAAAAGTATGTCTTTGAATAATAAAAACAATGAAGGAAATTTTGCAAGAAAAATTTGCTGTCAGAGGACATTCGTAAAGATATCTTTCCTGTATTGTGAAAACATATATTAATTTTTGTGTTTGATATTTTTGGTTTATAGCTGGCCACCCCAGTGACCTGTCCAAGTACGCAGACGTGTTCCTACAGAATAACATCAACGGTAAGAGACTGCTGATGCTGTCACCGGAGGACCTCAGGTCTATGGGCATCCTGTCTCTGGGACACAGGCTGGACTTACAGGTTAGTCGGCGGTGCTAGAATACTTTTTTGCTTTTTTGTGTTCTGCAATATTGCAGAATGTCAAAATTTTGTTCTGCAATTCAGAGATACGTTCTGCAAATGCACACTTAAAAGTACGGATCTAAACCCATGGCATATACAAAATTGCAATGTTGGTAAGTATTTTACATTTGATTTGAAAAATACATGCAAAATTGCTTGTAATAGTAAGTTAATATTATTAGTAAGTTAGAGTTAGTAAGTAAACACAAAAGCTCTATTAAACCCCTAGCCTGATTTTTTCAGTCTGCAAAATTGCGAGCTACTCAACTTTTTGTCTGTAATATTGAAAATGTCTCTGCAAAATGCAGACTGGGTATTTCTAACACTGGTAGGTAAAAGTGATCTTGAACAACTTCAGTTCAAATGAACTCAGTGAACTGTTGAGCTACTTTTTCATTTTCTCTATGTACATCTAACTTGATTACAAATGTGTTTGATGACTTTTGTTTTTCAGAATGAAATTGAGCAACTGAAAATTGAGAATCACAGGCTGCTGCACTTTCCTCCACTGTCAAAGGTAAACAGCTCATAATTTATGTAATACTAGCACTGGTGTCAAACTGTTTTTTTCTATCAAATCTTAGACTGACCCCCACTCTAGTGTACTCTTTATCAGGTTTAACGTTAGTTGTTCTACACTTCCCGACCGTTAAATGTGCTTGCACACTGGTGCTGAGGCTTGATGGCCGCCTTTCATTTGCCTCTGTCCTGTGAATTTAGGTTGTTTGGAGTATGTTTTAGAGCAATCTGTTCCTTGTGGGCTTTTTACAACAATGTAAGTAATTCTACCACCTTCTTGCTGTGTCCTTGCCCCAACCATGACACGTGTTGTTGTTGTTTTTTTCAGGATGCCGGACTGTACCAAGGTGGTTCCTCGCCCGGGGGTCAGACCTATGTCACCTTAAACCTTCTCATTGGGAATCACTGCAGAATGGGCCAGACTCCAGAGGTAAAAACCCCAACTAGACCCTCCACTGAATTCATCTTCCCACAGAATCAAAACCTTTTTTATAATGATTGAGTCAAAATTTAAAAATGTTGGAACCTTTGTTTTTTTTGGCCCGCCTTCTTGTTTTTTTTTTCCGGCCGCTCGCATTAGATTTGCAGTCTGCGGAGGATGTCATCCATGAAATTTACTTGATGCGGCCTAAGTTGGATAAGGGTTAAAGACAGCTTCAAGACAGCTATGAAGAAGACCTCTGACCTCCAATAATATTGAATACGTTGATTATGATTATGTTTTGAATTTATGTTTCTTGTAAATATCCTCAGTTCATGTTCGTATTATTCATTTATTTCTGTATAACTTTCAGTTGTACTGATTTCATTTACATCTTTTGTTATATACTTTGTATGATTTCCCTGGGCCTCCTTGGAAATCAGCTTTTGGCTGAAGGAGCCACCCAGGCGTCTTTGAAGATTTAATAAATAAATAAATAAATGACACGTATGATGTAACTGTATTTACAGGAGAGTAAGTGGAAGATGTACGTGGAGGTAGACGGTGACACTGCCGCCGTGACAGCCATCAAAAATGTCACCTTCCTACTCAAGTCTACTAATGATGTCATCAGGAAAGATCATGTAAGTTATACATGTAGTTAAAACAATTTTGTAGTACAGTAAAATACAACCGAGAGGCATATTTGCAGTGGTATGATGTTGAAGTGGCTACATTTACAGTAAGGCTACATGCATTTTTCTAAAATTTATTTTTAGTTATTGAGTGAAATGTTTTTTTAGTCTTACCAAATCACATAAATTTTCATATTTTCTGCCCATGTAGCCTCCTTACCTGATGGACAACTGGTGTGTGGGGTCAAACTCTCCCATTCAAGTGGAATGTTCCATTTTCTATGAGGTAAGGTTTGGGCTATTCCATTTTCCAATGCGTTGTGTTCCACTGCAAAGTTTTGCTATATGAAATGATGAAGCAGTGTTACATAGTCCTCTAGATTGGAACTGAAGTTACTGTTACTGTCCTTGGCATGTGCCTGTTTTTATGATACTGCGATTCACAATTTTTTTTGCAATACATTTTATATGCATTATGATTCATAGATCGTAAAGTGTTCTACTAGTATCTACAATACTGTACTGTTTTTGGCTTGCGTCTGTCTCACTGCAGTTTTCGTGTATTCTGCTAGAGGGCATCTGTGATTGGTCTGTGTTTTATTTTAGGATCATGTGAAGAAACCCAAGCAGACGAAGCATCTCCACACAGTAGTGCTGGAAAAGGGAGGAGAAACCCAGGAGAAAACTGTGCAGTTGTGTCTGAGACAGCCGGGGGTACCTGACAGCGGTACCTCTACACCTGCACGCAGCTCGCCTAAACACTTCACAGGTGTATAGTATTGTTTGTTTGTTTGTTTATTTATTTGTGCCTGACAGCAGCACCTCTACACCTGCACACAGCTTACCTAAACACTTCACAGGTATGCGGTCTGGTATTGTTTGTTTATCACAATATGACAAGGAGCACGAAACCCTTTACAAGTTGTCCTTATAAAACCACAATCATTTCTCGATGTGCAAAACCCAATTCAAGGTTGAGATTAGTATTCCACATTTCAGCTGAAACCCTACTCATATGCAGAGGACAACATGCCCTAAACAGCACCCTCGAAACAATACATGTATCTCCATCCTTTATGTAACCAAGGTTTAACAAGTATGATGTTTTTAAAAAAACACAGGCGACGATTTTGTGTTTTATCTGTTCCGTTCTTGATACAATTGTTCTTTTCATATACGTACACATATAATTTAGGCCACAGCAAGTAAATTTTACAGATGACATCCTCCGCAGACTCCAAATCTAATGCGAGCGGGCGAAAAAAAAACAAGGCCGGCCGAAAAAAACAAGGTTCCTATATACAATGTAAAATTTTGACTCAATCATTGTACAAATGGTTTTGATTCAGTAGGAACATCACATAATTTATACACAGTCAGCATCACATATCACTGCATCAAAGTAAGAAACAAACAATAAATCAGAGCCTTTTCTTGTCTCCTCTCTTCCTAGTTATCTGCCATCCACCTTCCAGCATGGCAACAGACATCTTTGCCCATTTTCGGCATGTTGACCACTGTCAGAAGGCAACAAAATTTCTTGTTTTTTTCCAAAATCAGACGAAAATTAATGCGCGCGTGGATGTCATCCATAAAATTTACTTGCTGTGGCCTTAGAAAGAATCCAGAATTTCTGCTACAGTACGAGGAAAGCCACCAGGGGTCCAAAATCAGTTACATTTTTGTAGGCCCAGGCAAATTTATGTTGTGTTTCTTAAGCGCTTAAAAAATTAGAATCGCTAGATAGGATTCACTCCTTTTTTATTTGTCTTGGGGCTACATGTATATGCATGTACCTGTATTATAGGGTGCTCTAGCCTGTAGTATATTGATAAGAATAAGTATCTTAGGTTATATACGTTTCTTGTACCGTAGGCTGGAAAAACACTTTCTTGTCCTTGTACTGAATCACTTTCCCCTGTTCTGAGAAATGTAAGAGATCTTTGAGAGACATCTAGTTAATGACCCAGGAAGAACTAATGGGTTCCTGACGGTAGGGGACCAGGGTCTCAGTGGCTGGACATTGCCTTATTTGGTAATGGTCAGGGCTTTTCCACTAATGCCTAATGAAGTGATTTAGAATGGCTGATACAGGAAGTATGATGCCCTTGTTCCAAGAAATCTGTGTGTAGGTGGATAGAGGATATAAAACCCATGTACTCGAGTAGTCAAAAGAGAGAGTTAGAATCGGAGAGGAGAGAATACACGTCACTATGTAGCTCTGGCTCCTGTGTCATTGTTCCGGGTACGTACATCTAGAGTAGAGAGTAGAGTGGTCGGCCGGGTAGGACTTTCTACAACATCGGCAGCTATCTTACGAACTTGTAAGGGTCACCCATTGGAACCGAGGTCACTCAAGCTACCAGGTATTTGGCGTTGACCTTGACCGCACCCTTACATACCGAAGACACGTATAGGAGAAATCAGCCGTTCTTCCCTGGCGATATAATGACATACATGTACTTACTTACTTTACTATAATATATGGTGAAGTTCCCGCTTGAACACTTTCCACTTCACTCTATCAGAAACTGGACTTAACTTTTGATTCTTTGACCTATCCTGGGTTCCCAAAATACAGATAATTTCTTCTCTCTGTGTGATAAACCCACTCCTCGCGGGCCAGATCCCTGTTCAAGGGGTCGTTGACCTTTGCTTGAACCTGTGCTCTCCATCCATGGTGTGCGGGATGACAGGTGACAATAATTAATCACGCTGGACACTGGATAGCCCGGTGTACATTACTCTGAGGTAATGGATACCCGCAGTTTAGGTTACTGTTATTCTAAGATAGGCCAATAGGATGGGATCTAGGAAACATGATACTGACTAGGGGGCGGAGTTTCCAGACTCTTTCTTGCAAACTCCAGTCCCAAACCTCAGTCCGGCTGTAGCTGTGTGATGGAACAGACGTGTTCTCTGATGCGATGATCTAATAGTCTTGAAAAGAGGACCATTCCCGTGGCTTCTGAGGAAACCTTCCCCAGTAAACCTTCGGAATTCCACCGACAGAATCAGGTTAGTATTACTTTGTTGGGTAACTTAAATGTGTGCACACAAATGCTGTAAGATATGTTTCAGAACGTTCACTTGTAGGTTATTTTGTACTGATTTGTCCATGAAACTATTTGCCCTTATAGATAGCAAAATGTATCTTACTAAAGGGCCAAAATCTCTATATTCTCAAATGTTTTGTGTACTTTCCTATATGTTCATAATAATAATGCTCTACAGCCTTCTTTACTTTATAGACCCTATCAATTGCAAGCAAATGAACGACTCACTGTTTTCAACCGAGTGGAAAGTGTAAAAATCTCTGAATTCGGAAAACCCATTAACCTTTGGTACACCTTCCTATATGTTGGATAGTCGGGGCGAGCGGGGACCAGATCGGACAGGAATGGCCGGGCGAGCAGAGAGCAGGCGGACGGCCGGGCGGGCCAGCGGGGAGCGGGCAGCCGGGCGGGCGGACAGTACCCCCAGCCGTAGAGGTACAGATGAACCTACGAAGGACAGGTTGAAGCTATTGAAAAGGTATGTTTTAATGGTACTTCCTATGTTGAAATATGCCATAATCGTATCTGTGTAAATTTTGCTATCACAGCCGTGTTTTTGCAGTGTCACATGTCTATTTGTTAAGTGTTTAACTTGACTGTGGACAACAAACCTACATCTTGTTATATCCTGAACTAGCTGGGCGGGTTGATCACCCGTCACCGTATACGTAGAGAAATTTTTGGGAAGTTTGCCTTTGTCTGGCTACCAGGCTACTAGTATCTTGACCGACAGTCGCCCGTATTTCATAACAGTTCCTTGACCCACTTGCTATTTTCTCGTGTACTAGTATGTGCTTTGTACGAGTACTCTGTATACGAATGTGAAGTAAACTTTCGTCTACTTCTGTTTGAAATTCTTGGTATTTTTCAAGCAGACTTTTTTTTAGATTTCTACATTTTTTTCTATGTTATTCTGGTGTTCTTGGATCTCGCTATGTTGTTGTGTCCCGGGTATTTCCTTATTGTGGTTTTAAATGGGTCATCACTATTTAGTATATGTGTGACGCCATTTATCACGTACACCACAGTTTCTGACAAAGATTCAGACCTATAGTGCCAAGGAGGAACAGTTCTACTAACCTTGGAAAAACTGAGCCTCAGAGTAGAAAACTAGAATAGGTTTTTCGCCTTCAATGAGGCGTGTTACAAGGGCATAAAATGGGGGCGCTTAGTCAGAGAATCTAATCGGCTTTACCCCTTTCTTTACTAGCAGCTTATTGACTAATTTGTTCCTAGTACTAGTATCACTTGCAGTGGTTTGGGGAAATTTTGAATTACAAATTCTTGTTAACTGATTCGATGGCCGTATATATCAGCCGCGCAGAGTATCGATCATGTAGTCAGCGTGACTTAAACGTTTTATTTGTGTGATGTTAGCAAAGTACAGTACTTGATTGTGTCTTCAAAGTTCCGGTGTCAGAATTTGGGTGTTGTTATATTATGACTGATTGATACATCATTGTCGATCACTGAGTTAGAGAAAGTTTAAAGTTGCTTGTTGGCTGGTTACCACACGCGTAGAGAGAATTTTAGTTTACTGATCAAGGAGCTTTCACATTAAAAGTGTGTGCCACATGACGTTAAGTTCCACCGGCCTTACTTGATATTCTACCCTTTCCGACAAAACCTTTCTGTTCATATTAGTGGCTTAGGAATATTTTGCAGGCCCCAGCTGGCAGCCATACTCTGCTGGTATGCCAAATCTTTCCAGCTGGCCTTTGAAAGTTTCTAATTATTGTCGTCCTGTAACCGACCCGGTAAAATACCCCTGCATAAAATTCCCCTGGGCGGGCGGGCAGTGCTGCCAGCACCACCGTGAGATACCGGAAGCATACATGGTCTGGCTGCCAGGCTATTCTGGAGTAATTTAGCACTCACTTTAATTTAGTATAATACCTGATGAAATTATTTTTGGAAATGTATTTTGAAGATTCTAACACCCGTTTTTCTGACTTCACTCATCTTGTTCTTTGTGTGGTTTATTCCGCCCATTTTGCTTTACAGAATTCGGTCAGTATTTCATTACAAATCCAACCGGTCTTTATCAGGTATCGACGATCAGTGTGTTAGTGAATTGTTTTTATAGCTGCTCGTTTTAGCGGCTGGTTTTCTTTCGTCCGACGTATGAAAGAACGTTGGAATTCTGGTTTATGTAAAGTTTGAGCCACCTGACGCCCAGTTCCGCCGGGGTTTTCCGGCCTTACCCTTAATTCTCTCCGTCAAGGCTCTCCTGATCAGTAACCCCGGGCGTTGTTTTGTCTTTCTTTCCAGTAAACCTCAGACATGCAGAGAGGGACACCTACTGTTCTACACTGAACACCAGTGCCGGCATATAAGGTTATGCCCTGTCCGTGCTAAACTGACCGCACCTGCCAACGACGCAGGGTTCCGAACAGCGGAGACCATCTCAGTGCACAGAGGCGGTTTCAGTACGTTGTATACTTATCTCTAGGTCAACACCATTTTGGTTTTAACAACTTAATATAATTCACACAATTGCAACTTGATATTATTTCCCCGTATTCTGACATCCCAACATAATAAGGTCAATATTCGAATGAAAGCTCATCTGTGTTGGTAGAATACATAGTTTAAGAGTTTGACTTGTTCCAACACAAAGAAGAAACTCACCATAAATTTTCGGCTGATCCCGTCAACCCGTCAACCTTATGGTGAGTTTCTTCTTTGTGTTGGAACAAGTCAAACTCTTAAACTATAATAAGGTCAAGTTTCACATCCGCAGTCAAGCTGAACGCTGTCGAACTATGCTGAATAACGCAACCCTAGAATGGAACAAACTTCGCTAACCTGTTCTACACTGTTTCTTTCAGCTCTACATGACGACAAACACAGCAGTTACTCAAGAATACAATCGAAAAGTGGAACAAAATACCTGGTGAGTGCCTAACCATCCTTATTTCATCATCATGCAATATTGTACATAACCACGATGGTTAGGCAATGTTCGCATATCTATAGTACTTCTTTCATGAAAAGCTGCGTGTTTTGAAATACGGTACCATATTTACTATGATGTCATTGCCGGGAAACAGTGTAGCCTGGGTGCCAGGCCCCTGTGCCACGATACTCAATTCAGTCAGGGAAATCTCACGCCTGGAACACAGAATTTGCAGCTGGGGTCTAATTTATACGTCTAGATAAACTGAAGAAGGAAGCCAGCTCCGAAACTGTGGCGTGTTGGGCAGTATAGAGGCCTGGTCAAGAGTCTCAGAAAGAAGAAGCACTTTCTTTATTCCAAGCAAGGACTTAAGCTCCTTGTTCTAAGTGCTGGGGTCTGGCACGCAGGCTATTCATAATTACCTGGCAGCAAAATCCCATACGGCATGTATACTTCATGATGTCGCAATTTTCATTGCCAGAAAATGTGTTATATATATGTGTCTGCTTCATTGCATTCTGTAAAATTAATCGACTCACATGCTTTGCATACCCTAAATCTTGTTAATTTAAATTAATCAAAGCTGGCCAAAGTTGGCATAGATTCATTTATGCTCTTTTCTCTCTTTATACCCACAGGTAAACTTCGCCATGTCCACCCTGAGATGCAGACTACAGCAGGAGTTCACTGGCTAGCATGAAACCTTAGCATGAAACCTAGTCGTGGAAGGATTGGGGTGTGCATTCATGTTTTGCAGCCAAGAAAATTGAAAAACAAGCATGGAATGCAACAGCATCATGAAAGCGAAGAAAGTAATAAATAAAAAAGCAAGACTGACACAAACATACATGATAGAAAACACACAAGTGAATAAAATTCCTTACACAAAACATCACTGTTACACTACATGTGTCACACAGTAAAGTTATAAAAAAACTACCAGCATCATATAGTTGCAACTAAAACATATTTGAAGTATTATATGCTTGCATATGCTGCTCCTGAGCAAGAAATTTGTGCTCTCTTGATAGAAGAAAACATATTTGAAATATCAATAAAGACAATCATTAATATTCTCATAATAATTCTGTGTGCAAAAAGCCACAGTTTGCCCGAAAAGGTGCTATTGCATGCATGGTAACATAAGCCTTTCCTGCTTGTTCCGATGACCACAAGGCCGGAGGCTACCTGAAAACCAATTCCCTAGGGAATGCATTCATGCAATTTTTGAAATTCTTTCAAAGCGATCGCAGTACTTACACAAATGCCTCCGCCCCTGAGGCGTCGCCAAAAATAACATTCTTCTTACAGAACAACAGTTTTAATGGTCTTAAAACATTTTTTAATGGTTTTAGAACATTTTAATGGATTTATATGTCATTGTTCCTACAGAACAGCAGTTTTGATGGTTTTAGAACATTTTAAATGGATCTATTCAACATTTTTCCCACAGAAGAACAGGTGACACTGCTCCCACAGAACTCAGTCCACGCTGCAGGCACCGCCATGGGCAGTGGAGCCGGCTGGTCATCTCCACAGAGCGCCGGGTCAGGCGGTTGGACCACACCACAGGGAGCCTGGGCTAACCGGCCTGCACCAGGCAAGTACAGGTTCACACTTTAGGCCACTCTGAATCTTTAGTTTTACTAGTACGTGGTTATAAACCTGTTAATGTTGAAATCCCACTGACAAAAGGTAGTGGATGCTACCTGAAATGTGTGAGTGACCTGAAATGTATGGCCTGGATACTGTGTTACCTGGGTGTTGAGGTGATTGTGTTCTGCATTTTGTTTTGCAGCAAATTTCCCAGTGATGGCCTCCTCTGTGACCCAGCCCTCCGTGGGTCTGTGGGCCAGTGTGGCGGCCGGGAAAATCTCCGGAAGGGACAACCCCCCACTTCCAGCGTCCTTCTACGTCACCAAGAAATCTCCTCAGAAACCTGTCGCCCGCCGTTTGGACAACACAGATGCGTCGTACAGAGACACACCGCTGACCGGGCACAGCACGCTTCCTTACGACGTCGACCGGACTGCCACGTACGAACCCAGGCAGTTCCGAAGACTCTCGCAAGAGGGACCGCGGATCGTCAGCTGGTCTGACGAGATGGAGAACCAACCGGATTTGTCGTCGGGGAAGAGTTACGCAGACGTAGCGGGTCACGCGTGTAGCATCACCGCAGACATGCAGCAGTTACGTATTAGAGACAGGGCGCACTCGAGTAGTAGTAGCGAGGTATCAGGGCCGAGGTATCCTCCAAACGCAGGCAGGCACACACAGAACTGGAACGAAGGTAGACATCGCGGGTACAACAGACAAGATGAGCGTAGCTACAGGTATAACAGAGAAGAAGGGAGGAGTCACAGATATGATAGTCAAGGAGAAGGGAGAAGCTACAAGTACGACAGACATGGTGAAGGGAGGAGACCGAGGTATGAGAGACAAGAAGGGAGGGAAGAGAGGTACGAGAGACAAGGAGGGAGAGATGAGAGGTACGAGAGACAAGGAGAGGGGAGGGGACAGTACAGGGGGAACTACAGGGGGAACAGGAGGGGGAGGGGGGGTCGGGGTAGGGACTACCATCGGAGGGTTAGCGACATCCCACCTGCGGGTTCGTCGCCCGCGGAGCATGCTCAGTACCGCCGCGTGGTCAGCACGTCGGATATGGAGAGGTACCGACAGGAGCAGGGGGATCGTCGTCATGACGATTACGACGTCATGGCAACGCAACAGAACAGCATCCGGGAAGAGGACCACGCCTACTTCTATGTCGGCGACGGGAGGAGCCAATCAGCTGTCAGGGATGATTCATTTGATGACGGCAGGGGAGGAAGACACCAGTCGAGGGATGATTCATTTAATGATGGCAGGGGAAGGGGAGGACACCAGTCGAGGGGCGGTAGGAGCCCAGCTGTTAGGGATGATTCATTTGATGAAGGTAGGGGAGGGCACCAGTCAAGGGAGGTGCAAGTCCCCGACCACACACGTGATCAGTCCCCCGACCGCCTGGGTTTCCACCCATCGAACGAATCCGGGGACCAATCGGATGGCTCGTGGCAGGAAGTGAAGAAGAGGGAACGGAAAATCTCCGGGTCATCCGGGGGGGACCATCAGGAGAGGGGGAGGGGTAGGGGGCGAGGGGGTAGGGGGAGAAGGGGAGGGGGGACCCCGGGGAGGGGGGAACAGGGGAAGGGGAGCAGGTACGTACTCGGATAGGGGGGGTAGGGGAGGGTTTAGGGCCAGGAACAGGAGATATTAGGGTAAGGGCAGAAATGACTCCAGCTACCTCTCAGGAATGGAAAGTCTATTATTACTTGTGATTGGCTAGGTACAAAGTAGAACTTGGAGCATCAGTGAGCACGTTGGCAGAATGCACTGCGCCTGCACAAAATCTGTAATGTATTGTACATTCTGAAACCATCCAACAGAAACTGTGAAAAATCTGGGTTTCACACATGCAGGTGCGGTACATTGGCCGACTGTTGCATCCATGCTTGTATACATTTACCATCGATATCAAAGTTCAGTATAGATTTTACTGTTGACGAATTTTAAAGCAAAAACCGTACATTACGGTTTTAAAAACTGTACATTACGGTTTTAATGTTTACCTATGTCAAGTAAGGAATGTATGTCTTTGTAGATTTACCATGTAAACAAGATGTTACTGAGTCTCCCTCTGACATTTAGGGCTTTTGAGCAACAAACATGCATCCATGCTGCTACTCCCCCTTGCAGTTATGAGCTGAAGTGCATTACGGTGGGTCGCACGGGTATAGATGGGCAATTGTGTTCAAATACCTTATTATTTTACCGAAACTGTACATTTTACAATGTAGGTTCCTATATACAATGCAATAAGGCTGGGTGCTGCAAGGAAGTAAGTCACAGGGTTATAAGAACTTAGCATTTTTCTGTTTTTCACCTATTTTAGGGGTCCAAATTTAGAAAATCATTTGAAGATCAATTCTGGAAGCAAAACTCAAATCATTCCATTTTTCTACAGCAGTTTTAAAAGCAATTGCATCATGATGATAATTAATATCATTATAATTCCAGTCTGATTATATTCTGTTTAGTACAAATTATACATATTTTGACTGTATAGTTGTTTTAGTTGCCATTTTTAGCTTCTTTGTGTAAAAGATATAGAAATTGTTTAATCATACATGTCATTGTGTAAATGCACGTAAATCTACCAATGCTGTTGTACTATCAGTAGTATTTTTATGAAAACTGGTCCGTGGCCATAGGAAAACAGGTGACTGGCCTAGTATTACAATGCAAGTTACATAGTAAGAAACATATTTTGTACATATTGTTGTCATCAACATCTATTCTTGAAAGTTCATCTGTGTAGGTAGGAGTTAACTATGAAGCAAGTTTGAACTGTAAGTTCCAACACAAGAAACTGGATCCAAATGCACAACTCCAGTCTTTGTCAAGAAATTAGCAATCGACCGCTTCTGTGATGTTATGTAGATTACATGACACATGTGACCATAGGATCATGTTGTTATCTTGCAGAAAGTGTTGGAAATTACAGTTCAAACTTACTTCATAATTATCATCTATTCTTTGCCCTGAAACCTTGCACAACTGAGGCAAGGATCTGAGTTGTAAATGATGAGTACGGACAGTATGTTATGGTCTTTTTATTGTCATTATCACTGTGACAATGGTGCTATATAGTACCATCTCAGAGTGGACATGTAGTAAAACATATACACGTAAGCCAGTAACTTTTGATAGAATTGTTATTGAGACCGGAAGATACGATTCTTTATTAAAGTAAGACATTGAGAAGGTTATTTACTGGTATGTTGATCATGCTGGAAAACAAGCCTGGTGTTGCAAGCCTGAATTAGGCCACTATCCTCCTATAAAATCCTGTGTATTGTTCAATGATCTTTTAGACTGTCCACGTCATGTAGTTTGTCCCAACAACTGTACAGAAACTTGTCCACAATGAGTTGAAACCAGGGTGTGATCAACCAGACAACCGAACAATCGTATAGAAAATTATCTTTTACCTTCTCATAAAATCCTGTGTATCGTTCCCTGATCTTTCAGACTGTCCACATCGTTTAGTTTGTCCCACCAACTGTACAGAAACCTGTCCACAATGAGTTGAAACCAGGGCGTTATTGGCCTTCCATCCTCCTTAGCCGTTTGCAGAAAGTGCTGCAACTGCTCCTTGTTGATGTACTGGTGGCTCTTGACTTCGTTGGGGTTGGGTTTGACGTCCACCTCCTTCTGGATGAAGAGAATGTAGTCGATCTCGTGCTCACCCCAGAGACCATCGGACTCCGCACGGTAGTGGATCCTGGTCAAGAAGTGGAAGTCTTCCAGGGGAACCTGATTTGGCAGAGGGAAGGGAAACATTTAACAACAGGATGGTACTGTAGTAAATGACTCTGTCCCTGAGGTGTCGCCAAAATCTTGTACTATGAACATGACATGGGGAGATGCATTTAGGAAACATTTAGGTATAGAATGATGCAGCAACAAGCTGCTAGGGGGCCCAAACTCATGTCACTTCTTCCCCAGCCTAAGAGCTACCTACCATCCAAATTTAGTGACCCTAGCATGTCCAGATCATGAGACATCAAAACCGGAGGTTCAGCTGCAGTACCATAACAAGCTGCCAGGGGGTCCAAAATCTAATCACTTTGAGGTCTCATCAAGACCTACCCACCTACCAAATATGAAGACAATCCATCTTAGCCTTCTTGAGTTATCGTGTTCACACAGACACACAAACGCCAACGAAAACATAAAGCACTTTCAATAAAACCCTGTTCCTTCAGAAAAGCAGATGCATGAGTGTAGCCCTATCTGACCTGATCAGCTGAGATGCCGAGTTCATGGTCGAGTTTCCTCTGCGCAGCTCGGAGCACGCCCATGGCCTTGGCCTCCTCTAACTCCTCAGGGAGGTTCAGCGGGTGGGAACAGCAGGTGTTGGTGAAGTAACCTGGGGGGACAAGGGTTAACCATTACCATAGGAACAGCAGTTGTTGGTGAAGTAACCTGGGGGGACAAGGGTTAATCAAGGGTTAATGGCCCGTACCAAGGTGTATATGGTGCGACAAGGCCTTGTTAGTTGCTATAACCACTGAATAAAGCCACCTAGTGTGCATACTAGTGGACAAAAAAAAAATGATGTATTGTGTTTCCTGTTTCAGTCCTGAAAAAATTAGGGCCTGTAGGTAGGGATTACCTTTTTTACCATTTTCGCATGCGCGAAAATGGTAACTCAGACGACTCAAAGGTTGGATCGATGGTTCAACGCTTCGACGGTTCCACCCTTCAACGGCGATGCAGACATGCTAAGTCACCGCATGTCGCTAGATGTCGTTGTTGCGACGGACATGCTGAGTTGCCGCATGTCGCTAGATGTCGTTGTTGCGAGTGCACTTTTTACCATTCATGCCTTGGACGTTTGTATACTTTCCATTATGGTTGCTAATTTCAAAATCATAGTTCTATTAATGTTGCATAACAAAGCTGCTGACAAAACAAACTTAATTTGTCTTGAACAATAACTTGATTTTATTATTTGCCAAAAATGTTGATAAAGACATGTCTATAATCACAGTAATCAAGGATTTTAATAAACTGCATAAATTATGTCAATGAGCATTAGCAGTGTGGATTAGTCTAGATGTTCAGATTTCCATTAGCCGGCAGTCCAGAGGGTCACACGTCCGACCAATCAAGGCGCTGCAGGCAAAGCTTCTTAAAAGCCTCCTTTTCAGGCGTTCCCGGATCGGTGTTTGTGTGTGTGTGTGTGTTGGGGGGGGGGGGTATTTTCTGACCAAACGTAGATCGCACGCAATAGAAGCTCCGGCCTACATAGCTGTCCGTGGAACTATTGATATTACCTGGGTGCCTAACTTTCACCAACATGTCTTTTGTATTCTAGGAAATTAATTAATTAATGACTGAGTGTTTCATTAACTTAAATAGGTATTGCATTGTTTGGCAAGGTATTTTCCATTGACAATTTTTAATGGATCAGGTTGATCAGATGATATAATGTAAACAATTAAGTATGATTAGTAAAAGATGACTTTTGAAGTTCTGTTCGAGTATTATTTTAGGGTTGAATCAGGGTCAACGCGAAAAAAAATCATGATCCGGTGATCGACATCATGCCCCCCCCGCACACTTCATGTATTCAGTGTTCTAAATACCCGTCTTCAGTCTGCAATTTGCAGATAGATTTTCAAGATTGCATGATAAAAATTACACAATCTGCAATTTGAAGAATGAAAAAAAAAAAACTATGGACCTCACAACTTCATATTCCCTTTGTTCGACCCGCCCGGCGCCCAAATCCCGCTGCGATTCAAGCCGCGGCGGCTTCTCGAGCCATGCAAATAAACCTAGTCCTGACGTCACAGCCTCCGATTTCCACCGAGCCAGCCCCGAGCGCATGCCGACAGCGAGGGATGTGGCTCAGATTTCCGACGATTTCCTTATTTAGATCATTCGGAAGACTTCGGGTAGCAAACAAAATGGCCGCCATGCACATGATTTTATACTAGTAGCTTCGCTTCTCAACCGAAATGAGGAAGTTTAACCTCATTAGCGGCCATGGAGTTGATTTGGGGAAGTGCTGAGACGCGATTTCGCTACGGCATATGGGATTTTGCCGCGGAGGGAGTTACGTACGCCGGCAAAAACTTGCTTCAGCGATCGGCTCCAGAAAATTTATCTTTGTGCTGCCGCTCAAGTCTTCGAAGGTGGTTTAACGAAGTTTATATAAATGATAAAGCCACTTTGCGTAGATCGATCTCCGTTTTCTTGCGATGGTATGAAAATTCAAGTACAGTATATTTTCAAAACGTTTGATATTTCTTTGTTCGTTGCCACATGTTGTTTATTTATCTTATTGTCATGTACAGTTACCAGCGTGAGTCTGAGTCGAGCCATTGTTCTTATGTGGCCGTTAGCACATGTTGTTTAAACAGACAGCAACATTGAAGAAAAGAACCGAGTTAACAGACGTCGGCACGTTCCTTGAAGTCAGGTTTCCCGCCGTATTTAAATAAGAAATGTGTGGGCCCGCGGCGTTTTGAAAAGACGCGACGCGCTTTGGAAAGACCCCGCGCCGTGGCTCATTCAAATTCGCTACATTTTTTGCTAAGTTTAATGTCTTCACCCACGATTTTTGACCGTCAATGTTGACGGTAAGGACTTAAATTTTTACCGTCCGACGGGAAAAAATACCGTCAATTGACGGTAAAACGGGCGCTGGCTAAAGCCCTGGTTGAATGTCACGAGGTTTGTAAACTTAGATGTTGGGGACAAAGCCATAGAAGAGATTTTGAATAAAATTAAATTATATATATATATATTAACGTTACTTATAATTTAAGTTAAAATGTACTTTTGTGTCTCATTTTTTTATTCTGTTAAAAAGACTCTTAAAAGAGAGAAACCAGGTTATAAACTGTTATGTACTTGATTTTTTGTAATGTTTTAAACTTAAAGAGTTGAAATATAGAAGTGCATGTTCTCTCATTATATACAATGTTGATGAGAACTAGAACCATTTATATAACTTAGGTAAATTGAAATGCTAGGATGGGGAAAATGCTAGAATGCATTGCACTGCGGTACGTTCCACCACCATATACTCCTCAACCATCCACCAGTTACGTAAAAAACTAGTAAGCCTGTAAGCGGCGAAAATGGTCAG